TATTGTGTCAGAGACAGGCTCCAAGGTCTCCCCAGCGTGTGTGCGGTCTTTTCTCTCAAACGCCCAAGTCTGGGATTTAACAAGTTCCAAACACACCTGAGCACATCCCAGATAATGAGAGAAAGAAACATGTGGGCTAGGCAACCTTGTGCATTTGCCCTCAAATAATCGTACATTTATTTCCTTGGGAACAGTTGAAGAATTTCGGGGGTTGCTCCTAGAATTGCCCGAATGGATGGTTTCTTGGCATCTCTTCTTTTTGCTGCTTTGTTTCCAACAGCTGCCACCCCTCCTCAACCAAGAGGCTGACTGCTCTTGTCATTGTCCACCAATCAGCTGTTGAGTCACGACCCCATTCACCATTCAGCTGGCGATATCCGTCACTGATCCGCCATGGAACCCATTGATACAGTAGAATACATGCGTACCATTCCCAATTCAAACCGTTCGCTTTTGAGAAAGTACAACCTAGAGTTTTTTTTTTCGTTGAATACAGAAGAGGTGAATACAAATGTGTTTCTTTTTGTTTTGATTGAGCTCAATTCTTGCACAACATCTTTTTTTTTTTTTTTTTTAGGACTGTCACCCATTGTTGATTTCCGTTTACGGCAATGCAAAACCGAGCAATCTTTGTTCATTATTCCAATGTGCCATCGAGTCCGCCGCATGAATGTTTCATTAGGGGTTCCTTGAGTTTATTGATTCTAGGGTTTAGTAAGGCCTTCTAAATCTGAAACCCAATTGTGTATGTGCATGTATTGTGTGTTATACGACACACAAGAAGTCAGGATTACACTACCGGTGACGAGGGACCGCGTGCTCTCTGATCTTCTCGATGGCCATGAGCATGCATGTGCATATCCCCTAACAGCCGATCCTCTTCGGAATCAGACCCCTTCCCCCATTTCTGCTCTTCCAGACACTTATTGACCAGAAACCCCCTGCAGATATGAAGCCAGGATCTTGACATGCCTGTCTGAAAGGTTCCTTGTCCACCAGTCAGACCATGATCAATCAATACGGGCACACTCCACTGGGATCGTTTTGTTCCTTTGTGAGTTGTACGTTTTTACAATAAGCATATTGTTTCGGAAAACTATAGTGCCAAATTCAGTCCATTGTCCCTCAAGCGTCCTATCTCTTTGCTCCCTTTGGGCCGGTGAAAGATACGCTGTCATGACACAGTTCGAGTCTTTGAATTGGCAACTTTGATTGGGTGACCTTGTAAGATGCAGCTGAAACTCCTTGATCAGATTTCTGAGGTTGTGGGGCGAAAGGTGGAATAGATACTTCCTTACAAAAATGTAATGTGAATCTCTAGCACAGAGCCTAACAACTTACCTAACATTACAATGTGATGTATTTTACGCTGAAATAGGCCATTAAAGGAGTAGTTCATTTTTAAAAAAAACTTTTGCTGATAATTTACTCACCCCCATGTCATCCAAGATGTCCACGTCTTTCTTTCTTCAGTCGAAAAGAAATTAAGGTTTTTGATGGATTTTCTCCATATAATGGACTTCATTGGGAACCAAACGGTTCAAGGTCCAAATGAGAGTTTTAGTGCAGCTTCAAAGGGCTTTAAACGACACCAGACGATGAATAAGGGTCTTATTTTGGACCCTTCGAGTCTTGACTCGAAAAAAGATTTGTTCATTTTGATGACAGTAGAGTCACGAACGCTCATCACAGAACAAAGCAAGGCGAGCATTTGTGCTTATAAAACTTAAACTTTTTTATTATTTTTTTAAATGAGCGATCGTTTCGCTTCATAAGACCCTTGTTCATCGTCTGAAATCGTTTAAAGCCCTTTGAAGCTGCACTGAAACTCTCATTTGGACCTTGAACCGTTTGGTTCCCACTGAAGTCCATTATATGGAGAAAATCCTGGAATGTTTTCATCAAAAACCTTAATTTCATTTCGACTGAAGAAATAAAGACGTGGATATCTTGGATAACATGGGGGTGAGTAAATTATCAGCAAAAGTTTTTTTAAAAGTGAACTACTCTTAAATTGGGATGTAATAAAAGGCGTGGCTTGATATTTATTGATGTTCGATTGGATCTTGAAAAGTGGTTCTTTATGGTCAAAAATCACAAGTTATACAAGATTAATGTCATTTAAGTTGAAATGACTTGCATTTTTAAGTACAATCAACTTGGATGTTTAAGACAGTCAATTTTTTACGAGTGCAGGCACACTGACTGTAGTTTCCTTTTGATGAAAGATGATGAAAACAAAGCTGCAGAATTACACCAGAAACAATTGTTAGGTAGGCAAATAGTCCATTTTTTAATGTTCATGTTGTCTTAAGAGCTGAAACAAAGAGGAATCTTAAGCGTTTGAGGTTGAGGTCAAAAACTTCTTACACTTCCATTTTCTTTTGTAAATAAGTGTCATTCAGCTATTGCATTTTTTCAACGTCTTGACCTAAGACGTTGTTATCTAACCTTCTTAATCCAACCCTTGACTGTTATCAGCAAGGGAAGACCTCATTATCAACCAACCCCCGAAAACAAAACGTTCCCGGGATCATTTGAATGGGCTCCTGCCGGGACAGGCACTCTCAAACCCACTCTTGGCTGGTCAACTATTGTCGGTCGGATCATATTTCTAACCTCGCGATTTGGGCCCGCATACCTAACATTCCTGAGAGGAAAGGTTTGCTCTCGTACTCCACAAAGCCGCTATTGTGTGGTGAGGCGTCTGGGGAACAAAACTGCCATGTGAACCGTTATGTTCTCTGAAATTATTCTTACCTTGTTAGTCAAGGAGGAAATTGCATTCAGGAGGAACTTGTGTACTGATGTGGAGTTCGAAAAGACCTTTTTGGAAAACTTTGTAATTGTGGTTTAGCAATTCATCAAGGGATTTTCAGACATAGCTTTATATTTACTTCCAGAATTGGAGAATTGTTTCTGTTTATTGCTTTTAAAAAAAAAAAAGAAGAAGAAGAAGACAGTGAGGGATCTAAGCCAAAAAATGCCAGTGGCCAAGAATTCATACTGTGTGTGTGTGTGTGTGCTCGCTTTTACGTGGTTGTAGTCACCACATGTTTAGAGAAGGATTTGAACAGACAGGGAATCCATCAGCTGTCAGTATCCCTCACACACACACACACACACACAGAGAGAGAGAGAGAGATTGTGTTTTGTTGTGAAAGCTATGGTGTCCCACAAGTGTGTGTGTCACTGCAGTTAGTTATTACTTACACAAATACTGTACAGACACTCAGTGGGGTTTTGGTTTGTTATGTGTGCAGTGCACTGGAGTGGACAGATAAATAAAATAATGTGTTTAGTGAGCTGTTTAGAGAGAAAACTGTGTGGGGGGTTGCAGTAGAGAGTGTGTATATGCATGTGTATGTGGGGGCATCTGTTATGTGTCTCAAAAAAGGCAGAAAGCCACACTAACAAAAAAGCATAGTTTTTTTGTTGTTCAAAATAACAAATAGATGTAGTTACTACCTGACATTACAAAAAAGTCATTAAATAATTATTAACCATTATACAAAACATTTTATTATCATGTGAAATGGGAAAACGTTGTCCTCGTTGTTTTCTTGTTTTTCGGCCTGTGGCTGGAATATATGCTGTAAAGTCTTGCGGCTGCTTGTGTTTTCAACTTCACATTTTTCTGTTTAACTTCTGGCGCTGTGAATTATCATTCTGTCAAACTAAACAGCCCCCCCTTCCCCCTCTCTCTCTCTCTCTCTCTCTCTCGTAAACACTACTTCTGTCCTGGAATCTGGCACGTTATAAATGTGTTTGTCCTGTGTGGATTTTACATACCGTGTCTGGCAGAGTTAGCGATGGGTGGGAATGCTTCGTTGTGTCAGATTAAATCCTGCATTGTACTGTCCTCAAAAAAAAACAAAAAAAAACACATCTCCGGTTTTAGCCAGGAAGGGAAATGGTACATCTGGCCAGGGTCTAGTTATTAAAGGAGTAGTTCACTTTTAAAAAAAACCTTTGCTGATAATTTACTCACCCCCATGTCATCCAAGATGTCCAAAGAAATGAAGGTTTTTGGTGAAAACATTCCAGGATTTTCTCCATATAATGGACTTCAATGGGAACCAAACGGTTTAAGGTCCAAATGAGAGTTTCAGTGCAGCTTCAAAGGGCTTTAAACGATTCCAGACGATGAATAAGGGTCTTATCAAGCGAAACGATCGCTCATTTAAAAAATAAATAAAAAAGTTTAAGTTTTAGAAACTCAAATGCTCGCCTTGCTCTGTTCTGTGAGCGTTCGTGACTCTCCTGTTCAAACTCGTTCATCAAAAGTAACAAATCTTTTTTCGAGTCATGACTCAAAGGGTCCTAGATAAGACCCTTATTCATCGTCTGGAATCGTTTAAAGCCCTTTGAACAGTTTGTAGTTTGCACTGAAACTGACTTTTGGACCTTGGACCGTTTGGTTCCCAATGAAGTCCATTATATGGAGAAAATCCTGGATTGTTTTCATCAATAGCCTTAATTTCTTTTTGACTGAAGAAAGAAAGACATGGACATCTTGGATGACATGGGGGTGAGTAAATTATCAACAAAAGTTTTTTTAAAAGTCAACTACTCCTTTAACTGTGTTTGCTAAGGCAAGCATCATTATTTTTCTTCCTCATACTTTAATTTAGGAAGTGTCTCGTGCTTGTGTAAAACTAGCTAAACTATCCGCATTGCACCAGTGACAAAGAACTGGAAGTGTTTATATGAATAAAAACCAATTTAAAGGCTTTTTCATTCCTTCTGGAAAGCAAAAGTGTGCAATTATCTGTAAAAGTTTCATGTTTAGTGTGTCTGAAGAGGAGCTTCAATGGTTTAAAAATTCATGAATGCTTTCAAATTACTGTCTGTACTGCGCTGCTGAGTGAAAGTTAAATGAGGTTAAGTAATATCTTGACAGCCCTCCAGACAGAACCACTATCCTCCTTCAGTTCTCTGAGCATGCAAATGTTCAAGCAAACTTGTTTTCCTGACCAATCCACCTTTTTGTGTTACAGGCTCCCCATACTATGACAACGTTAGACCACTCTCATATCCAGATTCGGACGCCGTCATCATATGTTTTGACATCAGCAGGCCGGAGACCCTGGACAGTGTCCTAAAGAAGGTGAACATTTTTAAACCAGTAGTACTGTGCTGATACACTTAATGTGAGCCTTAATCCTTTAGGAACATCCATTATTGTTCCTGGAATGAAATTGATGCCAACCAATCAGATTTTAGGACTGGGGTTTGGGTTCTTGAAGACCGTTCCCGTCAACCTGTCAGAATTTAGGATTAGAGCTGGGTTTCAGGGATTGAATGGCATTGCTATCAATGGGCTCCACCTGAGGGTCTTGATTAAAGACATGCAACCTTCCTTTTATATTGATGACAAAGGATAAATGTTTTATTGTCCAAGTAGCTGACGTCTTGGTGTGGTACACTCTTGGATATCGAACTGTAGGCTTGACCTTACTGGTTCCCAACAGTCTAATTGGCTTTTAAATGCCTTGACTGTGATTCAGAGAAATTCTTCTACAAGTCCTTTGTTGCATCCCAATAAAGTCGTCCTTTGTTTGGTTGGGTTGGATGTCTTCTCGTAGACTCTCAGTCTGGGGTCAGGTGTCTGAAATGGCCAATGGCTCGGTTTCACTCGGTTAGGCCCCCCTTGATAGTATTATGCTGGCATTAACTAGACCATGTGAGTTGAAGTTCAGCCCGATTGTCTTAAAACGGTTGAAATCTGGGTCACAGAATCGGAAATACGATCAGGCTACACGTGGGTCCCTGCTTGGGATAAGGTAGTGCTGTCTCCCAGAACTTTGAGGCCCCTGGGAGCCAGAGGTGAGCACAAAAGGATCATGGGAATGTAGGGTGTCCGTGTTCCTGTGTGAACAATCGTAAGGCTGTGCTGTACCCGCCTGTCTCCCGCCAGATTAAATCCGGTGATTTAATGCCACACCGACACAAAAAATGCTTTGTTTGGGAAGGACAGGAATGCAGATCACCTGTAGGATTGTTGTGAAGAGGCACACACAGATACACACCCTGAAAAGCAATCATTACAGTGCAAGCTTTATCCCCACAGGAAGCATGAGCCTCACCTCTAGCAAGGAAGATTAATGCTCTTGTGCTCATGAAAAAAGGGATGGAATGGAACGTGATCTGCTAAGAGAATGGAAACAGGAAACACTTGTTCTTGTCTTTTGTTCTCTGGATCAAGGCCCGTCGGTTTCATCTTTCCGTGTTGGTTTTGTGTCTTTCTTTCACAGTGGAAAGGAGAGATCCAGGAATTCTGTCCCAACACAAAGATGCTCCTCGTCGGATGCAAGTCAGACCTTAGAACGGACCTCACGACTTTAGTGGAGCTGTCCAATCACAGACAGACGCCGGTGTCCTACGATCAGGTGGGTGGTTCTCTTATAAACTGCAATATAATTTGCAATTTGGATGGACGGCATTGAGACGCTCAACTTTAGGTCTTTAAGTTATTTAACGTTTAGCAGAAAAGGCAGGTCAGCAACATCGCAATGTTTTGGGTTACTAATCCTATCTGTGCATTAAAAGTAAAATGCCCAAAAACCAATGCTCGGCCAATGTTATATATTTTGTTAAGTTGATTACTTACAATATCCCAAATGTTTCAAACTATTTGTAAATCGTGAGAAAATTACGATTTTTAACTAACGAAACAGGGCGTGTGAGCAGGGGTGAGGAGTCGCCAGTCAATGACGTCATATCCGCGTTACCCTGGTTTCCACCAGGTTTGACTTCGCACTGCAATAGTAACCATGGCGACAGACGTGGACAACTTGGTCGGTTTTGCCCATTTATTCGTGCTCAACAGCGCGAGTGTCCATAGCAGGGTTTTGTTCAAACATTATGGATCATGGAAAGCAGACTTTGAGACAAAAAGTGGACTAAAACGAAGATCAACATCTTTCGAGATGCCTAGTCCGCGACTAACTAACTTCGACTTGACAGAGACGCGAGTGTTGCACGTTACTTGAGCAAACAGGTGAGCAAATTAATGTATATAATAAAACTAATCAATGTTATGTAGTTCAACATGATGAAAAGTTAGAATGTGATCTGTATGTTATTCTCTAATGTTAATCTAGCTTAGTGTCATACAGCCAACAAACAACCTAACTAACGATTTGAAGATAAAACGTAAAAGTGGCGTTGCGTTATCTGTTTTTATTCTGCGTTTAGATGAGCGTTATGGGAGGGAAATCCGCGTGCATATGGGGACGCAAAAGTGTGTGAAATTCGATGTAGTATGCACTCCAGACGGCTAGGTGGCAATGTGGAGCAATGACACACAGCAACGCCAAGTCCGCGCACCAAGTCAAGCAGACTTTAGCGTTTTTACCCTTACACGGGAATGCGGCGGTGGAGCGTTTTTAAGATTTCCACTCTAGAGGGTGGTTGCATTTTTTAGCCCCAAAAACGCTGTCGTCGTGTAAACGAAAGGTACATCCGATAAAATATTTTTCCGTTTTCACTTGCGAGCGTTCTCGTGTAAACAGGCCCTCAAGTTTAATTCCTCTAATAATCTGACCTGTATGAGTAATTCAGCGTGTAGTTCGGTAGCATGAAATGTCTTTATTCTTTTATATCCGCGGAACTCGCGTTGCGTGTGGCGCTGATATACGTCTAGGAATCGCGCCCTGCTTCATACTACAGTCAAGTTTAAAAACATCAGTGTATTCACTCATCCATAAAAGATCCATCAGCCTGACGACAAAATCCATAATTCCGCTTAATGCAGAATGCATGTCATCGATATACGCTTTTGTTACTTTGTAGCGACCCCTGGTGGCGAAACAATCCTGCTTTTTGTACCTCTAAATGTCTGGGTGATACAGAGCTAAATCTTCTAGTGCTCAAAACTAAACTTAACTTTGATGAAATTGCAACCAGTAATCGTAGAAATTCACGAACAAATCGTGACTGAACCGTTAAGCTCATTAAGTCCTCTTTCTCTTGTAGGGTTCAGCTATGGCTAAGCAGATCTCCGCACCTTATATCGAATGCTCCGCAGTGCAGTCGGAGAACAGCGTGCGGGACATTTTCCACGTTGCAACGTTGGCTTGTGTAAACAAGAACAACAAGAACATCAAGCGCAACAAATCGGCACGTGCCACCAAACGCATCTCACATATGCCTAGTCGACCAGATCTTACTGCCGTTGCAACAGACCTACGCAAAGACAAAGCAAAGAGTTGCACGGTCATGTAGTGCAAGGTGTTTGGGGGGAAAGATTCATTCTGGGAAACGGTGAGGGTGAACTGTGGAAGCAAGAAAGGTTTGGAATTCCTTCCATAGACAAAGCAAAAGTGGAGAGTGGGAGTGTTTACTCGATGTCCTCGAAGGTCTCTCCGGTTTGAGGGACGTAAACCCATAGTACGGCCCCAACCACCTAAACTAAACTTATCCACTCAGCAGGAGGATGTCACCACCCTCTCGGCCAATCGGAGGCCTTCCTTCCTGCTCCTGGATGTGAAACTGCTTCCTCTCTGGAGGGTTCCTTCTGCTGCAGGAAAGAAAGGAGGAAGTAGAATCACATAACCATTGAGTCCAGTGTTTCCGCTGAGCTTTGGTTCACAGCTATTTTTAAAAGATGCACATTTCAGTTGGTCTTGCAGCGAAACGGCGAAGGGGAAGATGACTTTCATAATGGCGAAATTTGGAAATTCAGAACTCTCGCTTCTTTCTTTTTGAGTCTGTACACTCACCGAGGATATGAAACGAGAGTGTATCACTGTGGTTACGGATAACTTCCTCCTCCGATCCTTCTCGGCCTGTTTTTGTTTCTTCTGTAGACCAAGAGCACGAGTTTATGTGTGTGTGTGCGTGGTTTTCGTTTTCTAATGCTAAGCTCAGCTAAATCCGTCACCATGGATACGCCGCTGGTATATTTCAACTCGCACTGTTTTCTGTATAAGTCCTCATAATCACATTACTGTTCATTAGGATTCAGAAAAAGAAAAACCAAAGAACTGGAAGGTTTTCAAGTCGGATGAATGTTTTGACGATGTTTGACGTTCTGGAGTGCATGATGGATGTGTGTTTGAGGGCTTTTGGTGGATCAATGAGAATTTCTTTCATGGTTCCGCTTTATATGGAAGCGCAAATATGATGTTTGAGAATTGACCCGATCATTTAGTTTTCATTTGCATTTGGTTTATCCCTGAAGGGGCATTCACATTGACAGAGATTTGCAGGAACAAGACATCTGGAAGTCTTTAATTTGCAATGAGGGTTGGCGATTTGTGTCCTCATGAGCAAGAGAGACCGTTTACAATTCAATGCAGTTTTTTTGAGTTCAACTTCATGCAAATCTGAAACAAAAATAATGGCGAAAGGATGTTAGCAGCATGCTAATTTATTTTAGCATTTCCTCTGAAAATTACAGAAATATAAGACAATTTTTGAACATTTTTCTTGCTAAACTAGACAACCTCGTTAAATCAGACAAATCAACTACTAATTGATCATTGTGTAGAAACCTATACTAGAAACCAATTGTATACAGTAGCAAGTTGTCGAGATCCAGTGATTTAATCTGGATTTGTGAATGCCTCATAACAAAGGATTGTTGAACAAGCACATAAATAGCTTTTTATTGTTAAAGTCGCGTTATCTGTAAAATGTTACATGAACATTGTGCCTTTTATGACATTCTTTTGTTTAAGCACAATTGTTCAAATGTTAAATAAACAATCAAATGTCAAATTCAAGGTCATATTAAACCTGCGCTTCTATCTGCCCTGCCCAAGAAATAAAATAATGCTTTTCGAAGGGCATGTTAAGAAAAAAAATTCTCTCCTCTCTACTAAACTATGCAGTCTGCTTCTGAACACACACGCGAGAGGATTCAGAAAAAAAAAAAAAAAAAAAACGATTTATTATTTTTCTTTCAAAACTAAAATTTCGTGTGACTCGGTTTATTGCCTTGGCGAGCCGTGGAAGAATATGCTTTCCACCGTTGTAGTGCTTAAAGTTTCTCAAAACAAAAATCTTCAGAAGTTGGAAGCTAGCTGCAAAATCTCATTTGCTGCATGTTTGTAGATGCACTTTTTGTTTAAACTGGCGCAAAACAAACCTTTTTATTTCATTTGTCTTTGTTTTTAATGGGCCAGAGAGAAATTTCTGGACCGTGTCACAAATTTGTTTTCACATAGACAGTATTACAAATTTTGGTGTGTGTAAATGTTGAGAAATGTGTAGGTGCTTGTAAAAAAACAAAAACAAAATATTTCCTAATGTAGAATGTCTGTAATTTTTTTTAATGCCTTCTGTGTGTTGAGGTCCATGTATGTCTGTTTTGTTGATGTTGCCATAATATTTATTGAATTATATATATTTTTCCCCTTCTAAATAAATCCAAAAATAAAATGAAAAGGATCTTTTTGATATGAAATGTTTTCCTTTTGCTTGTCTTGCGGGTCATCAACAACAGGAGATGTCAGAATATATATATATAATAGGGCTGCCAAACGATTAATCGCATCCAAAATAAAAGTTTGTGTTTACATAATATATGTGGGTGCACTGTGTATAATTACTGTATATATATATATATATATATAAATACACACACATGGTTGTATATATTTAAGAAATATTTTCATGTATATACTGTATATAGATTTATATATAATTTATATTATATAAAAATATAAATATTTTATATATAAATAATTTTTTTTTTCTTAAATATACATGCATGTGTGTGTGTGTGTGTATATATATATATATATATATATATATATATATATACAAACTTTTATTTTGGATGCGATTAATCGCGATAAATCGTTTGACAGCCCTAATATATATATATATATATATATGCTATACATTATAGTAATGTATATAAGCTGGCGTGTGTTTGAGATTTATCGTCTCATTCCTAATGACTCATTCCTTATTACATTCCAAGTGTGACTTTGCCCTGGGCATCGGATCTCTTCCTGTGTGTTCCTCAAATTCATTCATGCGGTTTCGGGTCATTTCCCCCTGCGGAAGGAAATGACCTTCAGATGACCTTCACCCAGCCCTTTCCGGAGTCTTCATTCACAAACCCCACAGGCCTGTAGTTCAGAGCGTTCTAGCTTCATCTTATGCAGTTAGAGCTCAAAATAATATGCAGTATTCCCTTCATTTCAGTTGTGTATCGTGTAGATGAAGTCACACTGAGTTGGTCAAAGCTCTTTAACCTATACCATTCAAAACATTTCCTTAGACAAATATGGCATCAACTATTCTCCATGTGGTTCAGATGAACATTATGCATCATTAACTCTGAATATGAAAGCTGTCGTTCAGGTATTGACAAGCTTCAGTCAAGGCCGAAATATTCATTCTTTTATCCTCGCCGTCGTCACTTCGTGTGAATGCAGACTAAAACACACACTTTTTTTTCTGTCAAGAGCATCAGGCGGTATTTTCGTTTCTTACAGACAGCTATTTCAGAGATAAATCCAGACCATTACAAACACGAACTGTGGCCCTGATTAATTGTGTGAGTTGTGAAAGTGCTTTGTTGTTATGTCGAGACAACGCCGAGTGAAAGTGATTCATTACAGCAGCGTCTGACTGGAACACGCATTAATAGTGTTTCCTTTACGCATGATAGCTCATACATCACATCCAAAAACATGGAATATATATAAAACATGATGAATGATAACACGGGCCTGTCAGATTTAAAGTGCTTTTGTGCACATAAACAAAACCAAAAGCAGTCGTGGTGAAAATTGCTTACAGAAAAGTACTGTGGCATATCGTGTATAATGACATAAATATGCCACATCACATGGTATTTTATTTTAATTAAATACATTTTCTGATCATGTCACATAAATATATTTTATGTGAATATTTTATGTGAATTTATATTATAAATAAACTATATACATTTTGCATAAAGTTAATTTTAAATAAGTTAATATAAATAAAATCATGTATATTTTTAAACCTTAGTATATTGGTATACCTTATACAACTTGGTATATAAAAAATTATTATATATTTTTAAATAATTTTGTATAAATAAAATGTTTCATATACTGTAAATTAAAATATTTATAATATATAAAATTGTATTATAAATACGTTTAAAATAATAAATAATACAAATGTATTTTATGCATTTTATATAAATAATATGCATTTGTTTATATTGTATGTAATATTTGTAATATTTATTAATTGAAACAATAAAAAAAGCATACCACATGGTAGGGTACCAAGGTACTTCCACCGTAGTAATACAAATTACCGTAATAATACCATGGTACTTTTTTGTAAGTGAAAGGATGATTACGATATTTTTGTGGTATTAATATAGTATTCCAATGTATTTAAAGGAATACCACAATATTACCAAGCTACAAGTCCAAAAAACATGGTATTTCCATGTCCAAATAACTGTAAAACGACCACAACGTCTAAAAAAACACATTACCCCAATCTTTTTAGCAACCACACCTCTGGCGGTCGACCTTTTCTCATATTTCTTCAGAAAACTCAAGCTAGTTCTTGATACAATGTAATTCCAAATGCATTTTTAACATAAAAAAGTCATTGTTCTGCATTTGTTTCTTCAAATTTGAGAGTTCAGCCAACCTTCCCAAATAAGCTAGACAAGCTACAATCATATCTGATGCAGATGTTTAGAGTAAGTGTGTATCTCTGCTGGATGTTTTCCGGTTGAACGGATGCTTGAATGTTAGCAACACAGCTGCAGTCAGGACAAATGTCAGAGCCGGAGAAGAGGAGAGATCTGATAACAGGAACCGTCGATGTGTTGTGTCTGGTCTGGGCTTTTGTTTTCTAACACCTCTGAATATTTGACGATATAGAAACCAACTGTCGGGTTTTAACGCCGTGTGTGCTCAGATACCCGTAAATGTCACCAGTCGCTGTTCTCACATTTTGCATTAATCGACCAAGGTTACTGTACGTGACACATGAAATGTCAAGCAATATGTAGCTCTGAAATCATCTCCGGAAGAACTGTATTTTTCTCTTGGGTGAATCAGGAAACCATTTAGCACTTTAGGGATTCCACCAAAAAAATCAATACGTTCAGACCAGAACCTCTTTGTACGTGTTTTATTGCTTTTGTGAGATGAACAGGGGTTAAAGGTCATATATGTTTGTGTGTGTGTCAGACAGGATATAGTGTCATAATGGGCTCATATAGCTATTTTGTGGCACATACACTGTAAAAAATAATCACGGTAAACTACTGGCAGATGTGGTTGCCAGCGTCATACCTAACTATATGGTGTGTTACTGTTTTTGTGTTAGAGCATATATCTGTGAAATTAAAGTTTTATACTGTAGCTGACAATACAGTATTTAGCTGTTAATTTAAAAAACAGTAACACGCCGTATTTTTACGGTATGATGCTGGCAATCACAGCTGCCAGTAGTTTACGGTTCTTTACACGATTATTTTTTACAGTGTGTATGTGGTATCTTATAGAGATGACTGAGTGCATTCACACGCATCGCTTTAACACCCGTCAGACAAGGAGGAAATTAAATCATGTCCTACCGCTGGAAACACAAACACCCAAACACACATACAGCGCTGATAAGACAGGCACTAATTGAAATTCCATTCTTAATGGCCCCTAAGAGCGGATCAGCAATGGGCCGCACGGGTGATTGACTTTTATTGTGCTTTTGGTGTCTATCTTGACCCGCCTAACCATGATGCCCTTGGGGAAAGAAGATTGAAGAAGCTGCTGTGGCAAATTTTGACGTATTGTTTAGTGCATACTACATACCACTAGCATCCTACTCCTATTTCTGTCATAAAAAAATAATGTAAAAGGACCTACAGTAGTATACTAGTATGTGATTCTGCATTCATCATTATGCATACTGAAGCAACATGCAAGATTACTATATACTATATGTTTTTGTACTACTATTATTAAAAAACACTGAGTAGTATGTTAGTGTGCTATTCAAAATTCAATAATTGTGATTTTGTGTGCTAGGAGTCAATGAATCCATTTGCTCGAAAAGACATCCAAAAATGCATAATTTCCCTTTTAAATAATAGCCAAAAAAAAAAAAAAAAACGTATCTCAACAACACGTGGTTTCACGCATACCAAATGTAGGCCGGATCTGGGCCGGTACTATGTTGCTGTCTAGAATGTGAAAAGATCACATCCAAATTCATAGTTTTTATAAAATAGTATTAGAAAAGTACCTGGATGACTTGCTTCTGAGGAATTATGAAATGGGATTGAAGTGACGCTGCTGCTAGTTACACTACGGTCACATGACAATGACTACACAACAATGACTACATGATGGATAGTTGTTTGGATTCACATTATACCACACTTTTGTGACGACCAAAATAATTTAAAAAAAAAGTACCACAGACATTATAATTTTTT